CTATTAGTGACTTTGGAGTGACTCTTTGTTGAATGTGGAGGGATAGTTATGTGATCCAATTATATTATTATTGTTGAGAGGACTTGCACTAGTGAAAGTATGAACCCTAGGCCTTGTTTCAACGCATTACAATACCGTTTACGCTCACTTTTATCATTAGTTACCTTGCTGTTTTTATATTTTCAGATTACAAATACTCATATCTACTATCCATATACCACTTGTATCACCATCTCTTCACCGAACTAGTGCACCTATACAATTTACCATTGTATTGGGTGTGTTGGGGACACAAGAGACTCTTTGTTATTTGGTTGCAGGGTTGCTTGAGAGAGACCATATTCATCCTACGCCTCCTACGGATTGATAAACCTTAGGTCATCCACTTGAGGGAAATTTGCTACTGTCCTACAAACCTCTGCACTTGGAGGCCCAACAACGTCTACAAGAAGAAGGTTGTGTAGTAGACATCACACACCTCATTACATTTGCAAGTTAGATAAAGCCTTATATGGATTGAAACAGGCCCCAAGAGCCTGGTACTCAAGGTTGAGCACACAGTTACAATGACTTGGGTTTACACCATCAAAGGCTGATACCTCGTTATTTCTCTACAATAAAGGCAATGTCACTATATTTGTTCTTGTATATGTTGATGATATAATTGTTGCCAGTTCAAGTTCAGATGCCACTACTTGTTTGCTCAAGGATTTAAAGATGGAGTTTGCTCTCAAGGATTTGGGAGATCTACATTATTTCCTTGGTATAGAGGTTAAAAAGGTGAGAGATGGTATACTTTTATCACAGGAAAAACATGCTAATGACATTCTCAAAAGAGTGGGATTGGATAATTGCAAGCCTGTAAGTACACCAATTTCAACTTCAGAAAAACTCACCATTGACAGTGGTGAAGCTCTTGGACCTGAGGATGCAACAAACTATAGAAGTGTTGTAGGAGCACTACAATACTTAACTCTTACGCGTCTAGATATTTCTTATTCTGTGAATAAAGTATGTCAGTATTTGCATGCACCCACTACTATTCATTGGACTGCAGTTAAGAGGATTGTGAGGTATCTCAGATTTTCAGGGGAGCTTGGACTAAGAATTGTCAGGTCTCCGTCTGTGCTTGTGTCTGCCTATTCTGATGCAGATTGGGTAGGGTGTGCTGATGACAGAAGGTCCACAGGTGGATTTGTTGTGTTCCTGGGCACAAATCTTATATCATGGAGTGCGAGAAAACAGGCTACAGTCTCAAGATCTAGCACTGAGGCTGAATATAAAGCTCTAGCAAATGCTACAGCTGAAGTGGTGTGGATTCAAACATTACTTTATGAGCTTGGAATTAAGACTCTGCGAGCTGCTAGGTTATGGTGTGATAATCTTGGTGCAACCTACCTTTTAGCTAATCCTGTTTTCCATGCACGCACAAAGCATATTGAAGTTTATTTTCATTTTGTCAGAGAAAGAGTGACACGCAAGTTACTTGACATAAGGTTTATTCCTACTGGTGATCAACTAGCTGATGGCTTTACAAAACCCCTTACTGTGAGAAGGCTCGAGGAATTCAAGAACAATGTCAACCTTGGAGTTCCTTAGGTTTAGATTGAGGGGGAGTGTTAGAATACATTGTAATGAGATAGGACTAGTTGTTTGAACTAGATTCCTGTTCTATCTCTTCTTCTGTTTCTCTCCCTCGTTACCGATTCTTTCTGTATTCCCGATTGGTCTCTCGATTGATCTGCTTGTAAGACACAGCAACATCAGTATAAATATAAGTACGGCCCGAGGACCATTGACCCATCTTTAGGAGAGAGATACACATCATCCTTGTCAGTCTGAACCTCCGTCGACGCCACCACGGCGCCCAACGGTGCCACCGCCCTGTGCTCGTCCATCCAGACGCGAAGACTCTGGAAGATCTGTCGTGCGTAGCACCTAGCAACCAGGCATGACTCAGCATAGCACCTGTTGGCCAGGCATGACTTACAGCTCCACCGAAGCTCCGTGCAAGACGAAGTCGCTCCACCTCCTGCCTTCGTCTTCCAGCGCTGCTCCACCAACAATGCTCCCAGGAGAGAAATGACACCGCGGTACCGCCATCGTTTGATCTGGAAGACCAGATCCTAGGGTTTCCCCCGAAGCAGCATGAGTGGGTCGACAACAGTTACATGATGATGCCTTCATCAAGGTAACGCCATCGCCCACCAACGGCTCGGTTTTCACCGGCAACTATGCCTCCCCAACTCGCATCCGGGAATAGATGACGGATCATGAGATCCGACCACCCAGCCTCAGGACGACCACCTCCGGCGAAGGAGGTGGCCACCACCACCACGCATAGGGCCAGAGTCCCCGACGTCCTCGTGTTGCAGGTCGAGCCCAGTGGCAACATGTCATTGACGGAACAGGGATGGTACACGACATCAGCTTGTGCGGCCCGCCGAAACCCATCTAGGAGCAGATCGGGCACCCAAGCCACCGCCGTAGGACCCGTCGTCGTACAACGTCGCCTGCAGGCCAAAACTGGCCACCGCCGCCTCCCCACGCCACTGCCGTATGTCCGGCCCGCGTGGAATGCAGCCCCCCTGACCAGATCTGGCCGAGAAGAAACGTTGTCGCCACCGCTGCAGCGCACGGGCTTTGCCTGCGAGCCCCCGACGGTGGCGGCGGTAGGGGAGATGCGGTTGGAGAGGACCGAAGGAAGGCGTCGGGGGCACTACGGTGCGGCGCGGCGGCGGCGCACGGGAGCGGGAGCAGGGGTAGGATTAGGAGGAGCAGGAGCGATGGTAACCCGTGTACGTATGCTTGGATCCATGGGGTCCTGCTGGTCTTGGAGTTGATGGACCATTTCTACACTTTCAAAAGAGTTGAGGGATGAAAAATATACTTATGTATAGTATGATAATCTCATGTTGTTTCCTCCAAAAAGTAAAACATGGAGCTAGAAATGAAATATGAAATGATCATGGTGTAATTAACAACTACTACCCCTGTTTACTTATATAAGACGTTTTAGACATTTGGACACTGTTCAAAATAGTACAAAGCAAGGTGTCCGAAACATCTTATAAAAACAAACAGAGGGAGTAATATATGCCATTTGTTCCAGTATAGTTTTTGTATTACATCACCATGACATTGTGTGGTGCTTACAAATAGATATGACCATTGCATCTGTATCCCTACAATCCTACATTGAAATCAATCTATGGTTGGCTTGAAAATTCTACCGAGATATGTACGGTGCTTGAATTTCTATTGAACAGAGACATATCCAAGAATCTGGGTGTAAAATCCTAAGGCGCAATGAATGATAACCCTAACTGTTAAATCAAACAAAAGATAAATCATAATTGAACAACTGTTTAATACCCAAGATTGGGAATGAGCAGTGTCACTATATATGATCATCCATTAATATGAAATGAGCCTATGACGTCAAGATATAAATGCTCCACATATTCAATGTTAAGAATTGCATATGGCATTCGTGTATTCAATAAAAGCAGTGGGCAATATGTTACCCCCTCCATTCCTAAATATATGACGTTGTGGTAGTAGCTTGAAATAGTAAGGTGGAATCTAGGTCCTACTCATAGAGTAGCAATACAAATCAGTTCATCGAATGCAAGAATCTGAAACACAAAATGCGCAAAATTTCAAATGAATAAGCAACAGCATTACCCCCTCACACGCAAGACAATTTATCTTTCACATGATTCATACTATAAGCTTTGCAAACAACAATTACATTTGACATCTAATTGGGATATATAAAGCAAACCTCATTGGAAATACAAGCAACCGAGGAGAGTGAACTGTGAATCCGAGGAAGAAAAAAAACATCACAAAGTTAAGATAAAATTAGCAAGGAAGAAACAACAACATGGAGGGACGCACAACAACACCAGCAAAAAAGAGATCTGTTGCAGAAAGTAGCACTAAGAACTCCGCTCAAGATGCAGAAGGAAACATCATAGCTCGTATGAAGGGAGAGAAAGAAAAGAAAGCTGCAATCACACCTGCAAAATTGACATCCGATTGTCTGTAAGTGAAGGACCATAGTTCAGCTGCATCTCGTCGCAACCAGTTTCGGAGAGAGTGCAAGATCGCATAAGATATGGTGAGATGAATGGATTTTACCTACAAAAAATCACTTAAGGAGTAATTGAGAACAATAATCCTAAAAAAACCGACCTTGACATGCATGGCGAGATGGTAGCGATAGAACAATAATCCTACAAAAAAATGATATTGGACACTGACCCTTGTATTTGATTAAGGGCAATATGGCTGTATGTCACAACCGCTGTCTCAAAAATACAACGGTTAGAACATTGGATATAATTTGACTAAGAAAAACTCTACCAACATATATAAACATAATCACTTGAAGAGTAAACGAGGAAGCACACCCCCTTGAAACAACTTCTATTCTGGATAGGATCAACTGTCATATGACTCATATCTCTCATATATCTACCTAATAAACTATATGCATCATGTTAGTATGATATTGGTTCGTTTCGTTGATATGCCGATCATCAGTTGGATCGACACACATTAATTAGGCAGATGTGTGCATGTACGATGTAGCATTGCTGGGATACCCTTTGTGAAGCATTTTTCATCTTCTTTTTTGAGTTCAAATGATTTTTTTGTTGTGGAGATAGGATTTCTAGTCTTCTTTTTGTAGACAGAAAAAAAAATCAATTTTGCCCCCGGTAACACTTGAAGAGCAGGCCGAGAAAAATATCAGAATCAATTGGGCCGACCTTAGCAGCCCTGCCCATTCCCATTATTTCTCAAAGGCAGTGGGTCGCATCTTCTCATAAAAAAAGGCAGTGGGTCGCAGTGAGTGAGTGACGAGGAAGACACCGCACAGTCCAACACAAGCTCTAGCCCTCAAAAAAAAAAGTCCAACACAAGCTCCATTCCCCTTCCCACAAACCCTAACCCTAACCCTAGGCTTGGCGACGTTTGAGCCGCCGGAGGCAATGCCGCCAGGAGGAGGAGGAGGAGGAGGAGGAGGCGAAGGCGAACATGGGTACGAGAAGCCGGCGGAGGCATTGCCGCCAGGAGCAGGAGGAGGCGAGCACGGGCATGTGTACGGGGAACCGGCGGCCGCCCACGGAGGGCAACGCCGCGACGAGGAGGATCCATCCCGTTCTTCCCCGCTTCCGCCGCCATTGCTGCCCGGCCTCCCCGTCGTCTCCGTAGAGTATGAGGTTCGCGCCCATCCTCTTTCCAATAATCGATCTGGCAGATGGCACTGGAACCTAAACGAATTTTCTCTGCATTTTTAGGAGGAGAATAAGAAGAAGCAGAAGCACGAGCAGGCCGAGGTGAGCATCCCCGAGGACATCCTCATGGAGATCCTGTCGCGGGTGCCCTACAGGTCGCAATGCCGCTTCAAGTGCGTGTCCAGGCCATGGCTTGCCCTCTGCTCCGACCGCGGCGTCCGCAAGAGGTCCCCACAGACGCTCTCCGGATTCTTCTACTTGAATCGCGGTTTACGCTTCCACAATTTGTCGGGGAAAGGCCCTCCGATGGTCGACCCTGATCTCCCTTTCTTGCGCAGCACCTATGAATGCTTCTATGTCGAACAATGCAGCACCAGCCTTCTCCTCTGCAAATGCTTGAAATCGCCCCAGCCTATGCAACACGGTTGGAATTCATTTCCAGAAGGTGAGCCTAATCAAAGCTTCACAAGGACCGAGGCTAATGGCGCCGATTATGTTGTCTGCAACCCTGCTACCCAGGAGTGGACTTCGCTACCTCCTATAAAATTGGGCGACCTGGCACACGGACACCTGTACCGTTTCTCCCGACGCAAATACTTTTTGGGTTTTGACCCAGCAGTTCCTTCCCGCTTTGTGGTATTTGTGTCCCTGATCCCAAAATATGTTGGCCTCTCCATGACAATGTTCTGCTCATCAGAAACTGGGGGATGGACTGCCATGCAGGGTCAGCGTCATTATCTCAGAACACATCGATTTGGTGCCTTCCTGAATGGCACTATGCACTGGTATACTCGTTTGTCAATAGTCACAGTGGACATGAAGGGGAATGCTTGCATGGAAATTAAAATGCCACCTGCCATTATGAAAAATGACAGTGCTGTTCCTTTTGTTGGGCAGTCGCAGGGACGCTTGTATGCTTCGAGTATAGACAACCAAGATGGTTGCCAACTCACTGTTTGGATTCTTGAGAATTATGCTACTGGACAGTGGAACCTAAAGTGTACTGTTAGCTGCTTGGAACTGATCGGACGAGATTCTCTCAAAGAAGGTGAGTGCTACCGGACGTTTGCAATTCATCCGGATTGTGATTTGATTTTCTTTACTGACGGTAAGGAGAAGGCATTGTCATATGATATGACTAACCAGGAAGTGCATGTTGTCTCTTCTTCTGGAGATTTCCTGGGAGGTCTTCCTTACATTCCCTGTTTTGCGGAGTGGAAATCAGACGGTCACTAGAGACTTGGCGTACTCAGTGTGGCACTAGCGACTTGGTAGAGACATCAGTTGTTGGGTACTATATGCTAAATCTTGTAGTAGTTCTGAATCTGTGTGTTGGATTAGGCATACAATAGGGTGCATGCCCTTTTGCACCTCAGTTTGTTTTCCGTTGGTGTCTGGGTGCATGCCCTTTTGTTGCTTTGAACAATGTTGGTTAGCTATGAAGAATCAGTCACTGGCTCTCCAATGGGAATGTTTAGCTGTATGAATGAACCTATTCACTAATCTATTCGCCTTCATGTAATAGTTATTGATGCCACTCTTGTAGCTCGTATGTGGTAAGCTAATATATTCTCTATGTCTGAAGTATTTTAGTTTCCTGCAAGCTTACATTTAGTTTGTAACTTGTTGTCCACCAATGTTAAATGTTAAGCTTGCATTTTTGTCCATTAATAACAGAGATGGAGCACAGAGTAGGAGTTGTCGTGAGTAAAATGTACCTGGATCTTTAGCCTGGTTGTTGTCATGGCTGAAAGGCTGCGTGTGTTCCTGATTAGGTTCAGGGCAGTAAGCTATGTGCATTCTTGTTAAGCATGTAATGGGTACACAAAGCATAACAAGGATGTAGGCTGTAATGGCATGCATTTGCACTGCAAGGGATGTGAAGGCACTGGTTGACCCACTCCAATCAGCAAACCCCCACAACAACGCACCTCTGCCTATCACCCATACATTGGCTCTCTGTCATTTCATCTTGTACTCAGGGCAACGGTAGAGAGAAAGGTCACAGTAGCAATTTGTTGCTATTGTTAAAAAGAGAGCCTGTTGTTAGGGAAATGATCAGAGACGGTCGAGTTTACATTGGGGATTACTCCCTCCGTCCCATAATATAAGGCATTTTCGCAAGCTAAAATAATTTGCAAAAACGTCTTATATTATGGGACGGAGGGAGTACATGCAGTGCAGTGATTTATAGGAAACTTACAGTTAAGCAACGAGATAGTTTCCATCACACTCATCTAAAATACGATGTCTTTGCTCGTGAGGACTTTATCGTTGTTAGCGGCTGTAGTAGCATTGGTAATTAAGATGGAGATAGGAAAGGTGCTCACCAGATGTATGTATCTTTGCATTCATGTTCATGCTAGAAAGGTCTCGACTAGAGAGGATTTTCAAGCCACATGTTTTAGAGGTAGGAAAAATCATTTACTATGCTGAGCTGCTTTTGTATTTATATGATTGCATTGCATGGCTAAATGCCATCTCCCGTAACATTGTGTCTGCCTAGATTGCTCACTGTAAAAATTGATTAAAAAAAGGGCATCATGCTCTACAGTGGTTGTAAAGCTTTGATGGGTTAGATCTTCTCAGCCTTTCAGAGCCAGCAAATTGTGGTCGCCTTTCAGTGTCAGGAAATTCTGGTTGCCTTTTTTTGTGTCTGTCTATGAAAGACTTTTGGGCCAAATTCAAGACATGCCAAGAAAATTGAACGTGTAGATCTTTGCATCCAGCTTTGATGTTTTGTGTTATGCAGTCAAATTTTCTTTCAACCAGGCTTGATCAACCGCAAATCTCGTAATCTTTACTATCAAAGGGGGGTTGGTTCCTCAATGCTATCTTCCAACAATTTTCATGTTATATATCTTTGTTGTCATGATCTTGTTGGCCTTATTGTGCTGATATTTTGTTGAATTACATTTGCAATTTTCGTTGAAGCTAACATCCTATCGGCTGTGGCTAGTCATGAGACAATAACGCATTTATTTGTAGAGAAACCGTATTGCCCATGGACAAGTGAGCTAGTCATATATGTTATCTGCCTCATGGGTTGGTATCATGATCATTCAGGCCATAGGTTTACTGGATGATCTTGACATTGGCATTTCCCAGGGCTCACTAAAATAGTGACAGATACTAATATAAATCATGCAAAAGCTACAAGTTGACGTCTCTAAATGCGAGGGTTGTTCCTATGCAAGAAACCTGCTTGGTTACAAGCTTTGTTTTGTTTCATATACTGTGCAAGAAACCTGCTTGGGTACAAGCTCTGTTTTGTTTCATATACTGATAGATGGCAGGTAGAAGCACAGTAAAGGAGGCTGCAGTAATTTTGTCTCTTTCTGAGTATAGAGCTTATCTCTATGATTATCTGAAAACTAGGATGAACACAATTCCGCCTCATTTGACTGCACTTGCAGGCGGACTTGTATGGTGCTAGACTTATTAGTTATTACACATGGTGGCAGTTCTAAATTTGGCCAAGCAGCCTAGTAGCACAATTTAGATACTCTGCGAAGAGTAGGTGAGTATACCATCGCAGTTTACTTTTTTTTCTCTGCCTTTCATTTTCCACAACTAGGGTTCCTTTTCTCTTTCTCTCCGTGTTTTTTCTTTCTATGTTCATGGTGATTCTAATATACACCATGCAAAAGCTACAAGTTGACGTGTCTAAATACGACGGTTGTTCCTATGCAAGAAACTTGCTTGGTTACAAGCTCTGTTTTGTTTCATATACTGAGAGATAGCGAGTTAGAAGCACAGTAAAGGAGGCTGGAGTAGTATCCATCAGTACTTAAGTTAAATATTCTTTGCTCTTTATGAGTGCAGAGCATATCTCTATGATTATCTGAAAAGTAGGATGAACACAATTTTTGCCTAATTTGACTGCACTTGCGGGCAGACTTGTATGGTGCTAGACTTATTAGTTATTACACATGGTGGCAGTTCTAAATTTGGCCAAGCAGCCTAGTAGCACAATTTAGATACTCTGTGAAGAGTAGGTGAGTATACCATCGCAGTTTACTTTTTTTTTCTCTGCCTTTCATTTTCCACAACTAGGGTTCCTTTTCTCTTTCTCTCCGTGTTTTTTCTTTCTATGTGCATGGTGATTCTAATATACACCATGCAAAAGCTACAAGTTGACGTGTCTAAATACGACGGTTGTTCCTATGCAAGAAACTTGCTTGGTTACAAGCTCTGTTTTGTTTCATATACTGAGAGATAGCGAGTTAGAAGCACAGTAAAGGAGGTTGGAGTAGTATCCATCAGTACTTAAGTTAAATATTCTTTGCTCTTTATGAGTGCAGAGCATATCTCTATGATTATCTGAAAAGTAGGATGAACACAATTTTGCCTAATTTGACTGCACTTGCGGGCGGACTTGTATGGTGCTAGACTTATTAGTTATTACACATGGTGGCAGTTCTAAATTTGGCCAAGCAGCCTAGTAGCACAATTTAGATACTCTGTGAAGAGTAGGTGAGTATACCATCGCAGTTTACTTTTTTTTCTCTGCCTTTCATTTTCCACAACTAGGGTTCCTTTTCTCTTTCTCTCCGTGTTTTTTCTTTCTATGTTCATGGTGATTCTAATATACACCATGCAAAAGCTACAAGTTGACGTGTCTAAATACGACGGTTGTTCCTATGCAAGAAACTTGCTTGGTTACAAGCTCTGTTTTGTTTCATATACTGAGAGATAGCGAGTTAGAAGCACAGTAAAGGAGGCTGGAGTAGTATCCATCAGTACTTAAGTTAAATATTCTTTGCTCTTTGTGAGTGCAGAGCATATCTCTATGATTATCTGAAAAGTAGGATGAACACAATTTTTGCCTAATTTGACTGCACTTGCGGGCAGACTTGTATGGTGCTAGACTTATTAGTTATTACACATGGTGGCAGTTCTAAATTTGGCCAAGCAGCCTAGTAGCACAATTTAGATACTCTGTGAAGAGTAGGTGAGTATACCATCGCAGTTTACTTTTTTTTTCTCCGCCTTTCATTTTCCACAACTAGGGTTCCTTTTCTCTTTCTCTCCGTGTTTTTTCTTTCTATGTGCATGGTGATTCTAATATACACCATGCAAAAGCTACAAGTTGACGTGTCTAAATACGACGGTTGTTCCTATGCAAGAAACTTGCTTGGTTACAAGCTCTGTTTTGTTTCATATACTGAGAGATAGCGAGTTAGAAGCACAGTAAAGGAGGTTGGAGTAGTATCCATCAGTACTTAAGTTAAATATTCTTTGCTCTTTATGAGTGCAGAGCATATCTCTATGATTATCTGAAAAGTAGGATGAACACAATTTTGCCTAATTTGACTGCACTTGCGGGCGGACTTGTATGGTGCTAGACTTATTAGTTATTACACATGGTGGCAGTTCTAAATTTGGCCAAGCAGCCTAGTAGCACAATTTAGATACTCTGTGAAGAGTAGGTGAGTATACCATTTACTTTTTTTGTCTGCCTTTCATTTTCCACAACTAGGGTTCCTTTTCTCTTTCTCTCCGTGTTTTTTCTTTCTATGTTCATGGTGATTCTAATATACACCATGCAAAAGCTACAAGTTGACGTGTCTAAATACGACGGTTGTTCCTATGCAAGAAACTTGCTTGGTTACAAGCTCTGTTTTGTTTCATATACTGAGAGATAGCGAGTTAGAAGCACAGTAAAGGAGGTTGGAGTAGTATCCATCAGTACTTAAGTTAAATATTCTTTGCTCTTTATGAGTGCAGAGCATATCTCTATGATTATCTGAAAAGTAGGATGAACACAATTTTGCCTAATTTGACTGCACTTGCGGGCGGACTTGTATGGTGCTAGACTTATTAGTTATTACACATGGTGGCAGTTCTAAATTTGGCCAAGCAGCCTAGTAGCACAATTTCGATACTCTGTGAAGTGTAGGTGAGTATACCATCGCAGTTTAGTTTTTTTTCCTGCCTTTCCTTTTCAACAAATATGGTTCCTTTTCTCTTTCTCTCCATGCTTTTCCTTTGTGTGTTCATGGTGTTTCTCTATGCCCAAGACAAGCGGGCAGTGAGCTAGCTCGATATTCTTAACAAATTACTCCCTTCGTAAAGAAATATAAGAGCGTTTAGATCACTAAAGTATATTTCTTTACAGAGGGAGTACAATCATTTGATTTATACACAGGACAAACCCTGCGTACTTGCCTGATGTGCATTTCGTATAAAGTGGTTGCTTGTCACATGGTTCTAGCTGTTTGCCTCTTTGTTGT